TTAGTTCTATCACTACTTTCACCACAGAAAAGTTACATCAGGACTGAGTAATGACTTCATATACCATACTGAGGTTCATGCAGTGGCGAGCCGTGACTTTTCTACCTAGGCCCTCTGACCCCACCCCCCTCTTCCCTCGAAAAAAAAAAGAAAACGTTTTTACGTCACAGCCTATAGTATACTTCAGCGGAATATAAAAACAGCGGCCAGGGGTGCAAAACGCATCAATGACAGCGACCCTCTACCACACAAAACAACACCATTTATATAAACACCTATCATGACAGGGCACCCACAGCCAAGTAACAATTACAAATGAATTAAGTCGGCACGGCGGCCCACATTGAAAATCACTTTGACTTACCTTTGATGATCAAATCACCTAAACACAAAGTCCATCCTCCTGTCTTTTTGGATGAAGAACTTGATGGCGTCGTCATGCAGGTGATCCTTTGCTTTTAAAGCAATCAGCAATTCCTTCTCGATCGAAATTAAGGCCAAGTCTGACAGTCGGACTTGCCCAGTCGTGGACCTCGAGTAGCTTTTTATGCGCTTCAGCGCAGAGAAGGACCTCTCCACAGAGGCAGTGGACACAGGTATTGTCAGGATGATGCATGAGAGGGTGTACACCTGTTTCATGCTTTCACTCAGTCCTTTTTTGAGGAGAAACTAATGAATGTCGGCTGGGCTTTTCCCCAAAATGTCAGACATGCCGTACATCACGGCGAGTTCCGTGTGCAGTCGAGGCTGGTCGAAATATCCGCCATAGCTCTCCATCAAACTGTTCAAGGCAGCAGTTGGGAAATAGTTACAGTAATGCCCGAACTGTTGCGGGTCCAGAAGGGCCAGGAATTCCAGCTTTTTGTGGTCACTGAAGCGGTTGGAAATCTGGGTTAGCAGGCTGTCAATTACGCTGCAGTGGAGCTCCCTGTACCGTGCACGAACGTCTCCTTGAGCTCCACGGCCGCGCGGAGGACCAACCAAAGCCTGGGTTTCATCGTAGACGCTGTCAAAGTTCCCCTTCTCCTGTTCAATTTGTCGCTGTAGCTGATCCACTCTGGCCAGGCAGAACTGCATATCAAAACCTTTGTTCTGAAGTATTTCAAAAACAACATCCGAGTAGGAGAAGATAGCGTGGAAGGTTTTCAACCAAAAGCTGAAATCGAAGCTGGTAAGGAGGGTGATGTATCCATCAGAGCAATGAACAGTTTCGTCATCAAACTCTGTGTGATGGTCTACGATGTGCTCGAACACCTACGAGAGTAATGCTTAGTTTAGAAAAAACAACTTATAGACCTCCAGTAAACACTAAGATTAGCTTTTCATTTAATGTAATACTAGCATAGTTCTTTACCTTCATGTTTTTATGAGTGGGTAGTTTCCAACACTAAATCATTTCTTTATTATTGTTAATATTTCCATTACGTTCATTGTTATTATTATCTTACCTCTCTCAATTCCCTGGTCGTATCTGCCACTGTGCACACCAAGCGAGAATGAAAGCACCAGCGAGTAGGAGCTGCCCGTGGAAGCCTATGCTGGCAAATATCATCCAGTAGCTTGGTGCGCTTTGCTGAGCGGCTGAAAAAAGTGGCCAAGCCAGAGAGGTGGGAGAAGAAGACCTTACACTCTCTTATCTTGGAAGCTCCATTTGACAAAACGAGATTTAAGATGGGAGCATAGCAGTGAATGAAAAGGGCCTGTGGAATTGTTTCCTTAACTTTCGCTTGCACCCCATTCAATCCAGAGGCCATAACAGCTGCTCCATCGTAGCACTGCGCGACCACTTTGTCAATACAGCCACTCTCCCTCAGGAACTCCAGCAGCCGTGTAGCTATGGCCTCTGCTCGTTTGTCCTCTGTCATATCTTCGTACTTGAAGAAACGCTCTTTTATCCCATCGTCAGTGACATATCGAAGCACATATGACATCTGCGCCACGTTGCTAATGTCTGTCGTTTCATCCAACATGACCGCAACAAAAGATGCCTTCCTCAGCTCCTCTTTCATGCTATCCGTCATTACACTAGCGACAGCGCTGATCAGGTCATTCTGAATCCTTGAAGATGTGCCGGTAAATACTGTTGATGTGGCGAGGTGTGTGTGCAGGTCGCTGTCATATTCTGCCACTAAATCCAGCAACTCTATGTAATTCCCCTTGTTTGATGAAGTTACACTCTCATCGTACCTCGGAACGGCAACTCCTGCTTGCCCAAGTACACCACACAATTTATCAGGCGTTTCAAAATTCCTCGGTTCCTCTTCACATTTTCATTATGAAGGATGACACCCCGGCATTGTTGCTCATCCAGCTGGAGCTCTATCCTGGTGTCCCCAAATGTTTTAAGCCGAATAGTAGCTCTGAGGTGACCTGAAGCATTCTGATGGCGATGTGCTGATTTGGATAAACTTCATAAATCAGAATATCCATCTCTGGCCCATGACCCACTGTCCGCTCCAAAAAGCAAGCAATCCCAGCAGTACAGCTTGTGTTCCCTGGTTGATCCGGTCATCCAGTTGTATCTGGCGTAATTGCCGATATTAAAATGCCTCTCGAACCGTTTGGTTTTTTGAACCAAATTAAGCTGTGGTGTTGGTCGCCCTTTGGTAATTAACTCCAATTTATCCGTGTAACTCATTCTTGAAAAAGACTCGGTTAGTAGTTTCGCAACGATGTCATCACTATCACTAACGTGAGCCATCGTGAATGAACGTATGCTAATTCCGCCTAGCTTGACCCGTTGATATATCACATGCATAAACTTGGCAGCGCAGCGGGCGGAACTTGTCATAAAGTCCGCGATAATAAAGCCCTCCCATTTAGAGGGGAAGATATGATTGGTCAATTGTACTGTCACTTGACATTACTCTCTCGTTGTTTTACTATAGCGGGCCCTCTGTGAATCGCATAGAGGGCCAGACGAGCTTTTTTCATGTAACCCTTCACATTCAAACAGAAACTGAACAGGCAGATTCGAAGGATTTATTTCTTTGGACATTTTATTTTAAATACAATTAAATCAAGTTTTTTCGGTAAAAATATAACAAAAATAATATTTAAAAAATATATATTTAAAAAAAATAATATATTTTTTAAATGTTTTTAAATATTATTTTTTAGAATATCTTAGGCCCTCAGAGAGGGCGTAGAGGGCCCTGACGGCTCGCCACTGGGTTCATGTGATGTGTACAAATACAAATTGAGCATTACAACTTTTTTTTACAACCAACTATTTATGTTAACATAAGACTGTAAAATCTCAATATTTAAAATACAGGGTTCATACAGTTTTTCACCAATGATTTTCAATGACTTTTCCATGACCAAAAAAAATTACTCTCTCTTTCATGTGGCTAGCATGCGCTGCCTCGCCCATATTCGAAATATCGAATATGTTACAACACAGTTTGCATTTAGCACGTCTTGGGTCAATGTCTTTTGATAACCACAATTGGTATACATTGTTGAAACTGCACTTCCCTGGCATCTTGGCAGCTTTATATCAAATAGTAGCTCCTGTAGACTAGAGGGCGTGATTAATACATAGTCCCATGAATCTGGAATAATGTACAATTCACAGCCTCACAATGTCAGGAACTTTTCATCTACAGATTGCTTTGGTCTGACTTTACTCTTCACTGATTGGTTACAGAAACTTTGAACTTATACGGACCTCCCCGTTTATTCGCGCGAACATATGCACGAATCATGGCGCAAATGGCTTTATATACACACCCTCCCGGTCCTGCCGATGGCCAGTCGGTGCCTGCCGGTGAGCGTGGAAGTGTGGTCTGCCGCAAGCGGACGGCAGGAGCGGGGCTGTCAGCATCAGCTTGTAGATGGTATTTTAAACTCGATAAGCTCTGAAACTACGGGACAGCCGAGGACAAAAAATACACATGCGTTAATCGCGTTAAAATAATTAGTGGCGTTATTAACGCGTTAACTTGACAGCCCTAATATTTATATAACTAAAGTCCACACATTTTTCTACACAGCATCCATGGCAAGCATCCATGGCAATATGTGACATTCACCTGCTTCTTTGTTGTTTCTGTTTCTATGTGTTTTACAGCAGGATGCCAGATTCCCTTTCTTTCTTTCTTTCTTCAATTTACAAGTAGTGCTCTCCTGCTGACCCCATCACTACGTAGCACGGGGACAGCGAGACAAAAGCGACTGTTGTCCGGTGTTGCTTGTTGGGATAGCTGTGTGACGGATGCCATATGGGTCGCTGCGGTGAGTGTGAAGAATGGTGGGGTGCTTATTTAAAGCTTTCCAGGTGAACTGAGGGAAAGCCAGGAATCCAGGTTCCACAAACCTGGAATCTGGAAGGGAGCACAATAAACCTGATGAGTTTGAATTTGAGTTGATTATGAGTTAATTTTCAATTGATAATTAGTTCACAATAAGTTCACTTTAGTTACTCACACAACTTGACTTATAAGTCCGGACCTGAACCTGAATGTGAGTCCAGGTACGCAGCTCTACTACTGTATGCAGAAGTATTATTTTAAGCAACACATTAAGTTGACGAAACACTCGAGACAAATGTAATTAAAGTCTGCATTCAAACATTTTTTCTTTTGCCAGCTGTATTCACCTTGCAGGTGCAGCTATGTGGCTTTTATCCTGGATAAAGTGTTTAAGTCATGGATGTTCAAAGTTTAACTTCTTCATATTTAACTAGAGTCATGACCGAAAGAACGAGATCGCGGATACAAGCGGTCGAGATGGGTTTTCTCCGCAGGGTGGCTGGTGTCTCCCTTAGGGATAGGGGAGAAGTTCGGTCATCCGGGAGGGACTCGGAGTTGAACCGCTCCTCCTTCGCGTCGAAAGGAGCCAGTTGAGGTGGTTCGGGCACCTAGTTAGGATGCCACATGGGCAGAGTTGGGTGTAATAATATTACTTTTGTCGGTAACGGAGTAGTGTAACGCGTAATTTAGTAATCACACTACAGTTACTGTAGGAGCCAAAACGTTGATTTATTATGTGTATTATTTAATCATTTAATGTATGTAATGGAGTATAATTGATTGGTGTCAAGTGATCATGATCCGCAGCCACGGCTGGGCGGAGCGGCTGATTGGTGCTGCGATTGCCTCAGCTGGTTAAAAGAGTCCTGCTGATGATACTCTGTGTTCTAGTTTGGTTGTGAAGCCACACGGTTTTTTGACCGCTGCATTGCACTGCAGAGAAGGATAACTTGGAAATAAATATACCAAAAGAAAGGTGACTCTGAGTGATGTGTGAGCGCGTGGGCCAGGCGCTAAAACCAAAGAACAAAAGGAGCTTAAGAAAGGTGGAAAGAAGGCTCTTTTATTCGTCAAAAAACCCAGCTTGATGAGCGCTGGTCCGTGGAAACGTATGTTTTGAAAACAAGAACTCATAACAGCGTGTCAAATACTCGCCTTCGTTTTACTACGGATTCTACTTCCTAGAACGACGGTGTTGTGAAACTTGAATGACTGAAGGCAACAATCACTCCTCCCCCAACTACATCTGTAACGCGTCACTGCTGTGGAGCGTTCAAAGACTGTTGGAAACGTCTCAACTCAAGGCAAGACAATGAAAGTCCACAAACAATGAAGTAAAATTCAAAAGGAATAAACGTGTTGTCTTGAACAAAAATGGCAGACTTGGAAAGTTTGGAAAGTGACATTGACTGTGTGTATATGGAAAGGCTCAAACGACTGAAATCATCAAGGAGTGCAAAATTGGGTGCATTGACAAGGAAAATAAATGAAATCAGACAATTAATGGAAAATGTCTGCAATGTGGAACTGGTTAAGTCGAAAAGGGAAAGTGAGTTTACACAACTACACAAAGAAATGGAACAGTTAAATGATTCTGTTCAAGCTTTAATGTCCACTGAGGAGGAGAAAGAAATGGATCAGGATGAATGGTATAACCCCAAAGCAGCTGCCTTGGAAGAGTTTAATCAGGAGGTCTTAAACTGGATCGCTGATGCTCCTGTGTCCAATGTTGTCCAGACAAAAATAAAAGGACATACGAGTGTTGCACCTCGGGACAGTATTTCAAACGTAAAGAGTGTTCATTCACAAAGTTCAAGGAGATCCTCTCGGTCTTCTATCACATCTGCTAAAATAAAGTTGGAAAATAGAAATGCAGAATTGTTAGCACGAGCTGCTAGGCTGACTCAGAAGCAAGCACTGGAAAGGGAGGAAGCCGGTTTGAAGGAAAGAAAGGAACAGCTGGAACTTGAAACAGATATTGCAGCAAACACTGCAAAATTAAAGGTAATCAAAAGAATGGAGGATTGTCATGCAGGCACGTACCAAGCAGGAGACAGAATGAATGAATATTTGGATCACTCACTGTTTGTGAGTACAGCATTAGAGCAAGAAAATGCTCATTTGAATGCTAACAAGCATACACCAAACATCAATAAAACTGCAAATGCCGTTAATAGTGAAACACAATTCATACCACAACGTCCTGAAAGTTCAACTTCATCCAGCACGTCTTCTAGCAAGGGAGAGGGCAATATGAACGGCTTAATAAGCATCATGGAAAAACAGACCATAATAACAGAAACAATGGTAAAGCAGCAGAAACTTTCTTCATTACCCCCGCTCAGCATTCCCACCTTCAACGGAAACCCTTTGGACTATCGGTCCTTCATAAGAGCATTTGAGCATGGTATTGAAGAGAAAACAGAAATCAGTAAGGACAGGCTTTACTTCTTGGAGCAATGCACTATTAGCCAACCAAGACAGCTTGTGCGCAGTTGCCAATATATGCAATCTGACAAAGGATACATGGAAGCAAAAAGGTTGTTGAAGCATCATTATGGAGATGAATATCTTATCGCGACAGCCTACATCGACAAGGCTCTCAATTGGCCATCTATTAAACCTGAGGATCCACAAGCTTTAAAAACCTTTGCTGTGTTTCTGAATGGATGTCTCAATACAATGGATAGTGTGGAATACATGGAGGAAATGGATCACCCAATCAACATGCGAGCTGTTCTTTCTAAACTCCCATATAAGCTTAGAGAAAACTGGAGAGCTAAAGCTTGTAACATACAAGATGGAAACAACAGAAGAGTTAAGTTTGAAGATCTAGTGAAGTTTGTCGACCATCATGCTAGAATCCTTTCTCATCCAGTGTTCGGAAACTTAAAGGAAATTCCAAATACATCAGCAAAGACAAGCTACACATTCGTTCCTGCTACTCCCAGCGCAAGGTTCAAACCGAGATCTCCAGAGTTATATAAAAGTGGTTTTGCCACTAGTGTATCCCCATTACCTCAGAAAGAAAACTGTAACCGACACAGTGACACATCCCAATCAAACCGATGCATCTACTGTAAAGGAGAACACCATCTTTCTGCTTGCAATCAGATTCTCAAAAACACCCACAAAGAGAAGTTGGAATTCCTCAGAAGCAAAGGACTTTGCTTTGGATGTTTAGAAAAGGGCCACATGAGTAAAGGATGCAAACAAAGACATACCTGCAAAGAGTGCAATCTCACACACCCCACTCTGTTGCATTTCAGTAATATCGAGTCGGGCAAAGGAAAGGTAAAGACTGTTGCAAATGCTTTAGTGGATATGGATAAAGATGATTCACGGGAGGAGGATATTGGGGCCGGTGAGCCTGAAGGCACCCTGGCTATCGTTCCTGTGAAGGTGAAAACAAAACAGGGTAATACCATCATAACAACATACGCCTTTCTGGACCCAGGTAGTACGGCTACCTTTTGCACAGAGTCCATTCTACAGCAGCTTCAAGTGACTGGACGCAACACGAAGATACTCTTACGAACAATGAAGGAGTCAGTTAAAACATCTGTTGCATGTGACCTTGAAATATGTGGTCTAGAAAGTAACCAGTATGTAGCACTTCCACCTGTTTATTCACAAAACAAAATACCAGTACGAAAGGCAAATATTCCCTCTCAGGAGGATGTGGGACAATGGGAATACCTGAAAGAGGTCAATATACCACAAATTGATGCAGAGGTTGGCTTGCTAATTGGGTGCAACGTGCCAAAAGCTCTAGAGCCATGCAAAGTCATAAACAGCCAAGGGAATGGCCCGTACGCTGTTAAGACCATTTTAGGTTGGACAATAAATGGACCTCTAGGAAGGTCAGATACGACTCGTTGGATTAAGCCAGTCGTTACAGCAAACAGAATTTCTGTTGTGGAAATCGAGGAATTGTTGAAGCAGCAAGTGAAGCTGGACTTTCCAGAACATCAACACAAGGAGCGTCTGGAAATGTCAAGAGAGGATCACAAGTTCATGGAAAGTGTCTCTAATTCTGTCAAGTTAGTAGACGGACACTACAGTATTGGACTGCCATTAAAGGAAAAAGGACTTGATTTTCCCAATAATAGACGTGTTGCTGAACAAAGAGCTTTGAACCTAAAAAGAAAATTCCAACAAAACAACAAATTCTACAAGGAGTACAAAGAGTTCATGGCGGATGTTGTTGATAAAGGTTTTGCCATCAGAATGACACCTGAACAAAAAGACAAGGCAAATCAAAGCAAAAGGAGCTGGTATATTCCACACCACGGCGTGTACCATCCAAAAAAGCGTAAACTGAGGGTGGTTTTTGATTGCGGTGCAACTTACCAGGGCACATCTCTGAATGCACGTCTTCTCCAAGGCCCAGATTTAACCAACAGTCTTATTGGTGTCCTTACAAGATTCCGGCAGAAGAACATTGCATTCATGGCAGATATTGAAGCCATGTTCCATCAGGTCAAGGTGCCAGAGGAAGACTCAGATCTTCTCACATTCTTGTGGTGGCCCGATGGAGATCTCAGTAGTGAGCTAGAAGAGTACCAAATGGTTGTACACATCTTTGGAGCAACATCCTCGCCTAGTTGTGCCAACTTTGCCCTACAACAGTGTGCAAGAGACAATGTGGATGACTTTAGCCCAGAGGCTGTCTCTTCGATGCTAAGAAATGTTTATGTGGACGATTGCCTAAAATCAATGGAAGACGAGAGGAAGGCAGTGATAATCGCTCACGAACTTAAAACCCTGTGCAGTAAGGGTGGTTTCAAGTTAAACAAATGGGTAAGCAACAGCAGAGCTCTACTACAAACAATACCAGAGGAAAGTAGATCAAAGGAAATCAAGGATCTGGATCTGGATAAAAGTACCCTACCTGTTGAAAGAGCTCTCGGAGTTCAGTGGTGCACGGAAACGGACTCATTCCATTTCAAATTTACTCCTCAGGATAAACCACTTACCAGGAGAGGTATTCTGTCAGTAGTGAGCTCTATATTTGATCCGCTGGGTATGTTGTCCCCTGTGATCCTCCCTGCAAAGCAAATCTTGCAAACATTAACAGGAATAAGGCTAGGATGGGACGAAAATATTCCTGAAGAATGTAAGGAACAGTGGTTGAGCTGGCTACACCACTTGCAATTACTGAGAGACTTCAAAGTCAAAAGATGCATCACACCACTCAACTTTGGAGATCCAGTCTCAGCTCAGCTTCATCACTTTGGAGATGCTAGTGAAAGTGGTTACGGAACAGTATCTTACCTTCGCCTGATGAACAAAGCAAACGCAGTTTATTGTTCCTTTATCATGGGTAAGGCCAGAGTAGTTCCACTCAAACCTGTGACCATCCCAAGAATGGAGCTTACCGCTGCCACTGTAGCCGTCCGGATGGACCGAATGTTACAGGAAGAGTTGGAGCTTAAACTCCAGCCATCCGTGTTTTGGACTGACAGCACGTCTGTGTTGAAGTACATACAAAATGAAACTACAAGATTCCACACCTTCGTCGCCAACAGAGTCGCAGTCATTCGATCTGCTTCAGAGACTTCCCAATGGAGGTATGTTAATGGTTGCCTGAATCCAGCTGACTGTGTATCAAGGGGAATCTCTGTAAGTCGCTTTCTGAGAGATGAAACCTGGTTAAGGGGACCAGAGTTCCTTAGTCTCCCTGAGCATCAGTGGCCTAAATCTCCAGATTTGACTCTAACAGCCAGCGACCCTGAAGTCAAAGTTTTTGCCGTAAGTCTCAACCCCATGGAAGAAAGCAGTCCGCTTCATTTAAGGATGAGATAACTGCGCTAAAGAAAGGACTTGCAGTCAAAAGGAGCAGTCATCTTCACAAACTGGCACCCATTCTGCAGAACAACTTGGTAAAAGTTGGCGGAAGGTTATCGAAATCCGCAATGCCAGCCGAAGCCAAAAGCCCAATTATCTTACCTGCAAACAATCATGTGACTCAACTCCTCATCAGACATGTCCATGAGAACATAGGGCACAGTGGAAGGAGTCATACTCTGTCAGGTTTAAGGCAGAAATATTGGATTCCTGGAGGAAATTCTGCAATCCGAAAAATCCTCTCTAAATGTGTAACCTGCAGGAAACTCAGTGGTGTAAAAAGTCAGCAATTCATGGCAGACTTGCCGGAAGAAAGAGTTACCCCTGATGATCCGCCCTTCACAAACGTGGGCGTGGATTTCTTTGGCCCATTTGAGTTGAAACAGAGAAGAGCCACAGTTAAAAGATACGGTGTAATTTTTACCTGTCTAAACATCAGAGCAGTTCACCTTGAACTTGCACACAGTCTCAACACTGACTCTTGCATTAATGCCATCAGGAGATTTATTGCAAGAAGAGGCCCTGTCAAGGTCATGAGGTCAGACAACGGAACCAATTTGGTTAGAGCTGAACGTGAACTAAAAGAAGCAATACAAGAGTTAAACCACACACAAATCCAGAACAAGCTTCTTAAAGAGGAAGTAAAGTGGATATTTAACCCACCAGCAGGCTCCCACCACGGAGGAATCTGGGAAAGACAAATCAGAACCGTCAGACGCATTCTCAGTGCCCTCACGCAAGAACAGAAGCTTGACGAGGAAGGACTTGCCACACTTTTCTGCGAAGTGGAGGCGATCATAAATGATCGACCCATAACGACTGTTTCCAACGACCCTGGAGATTTAGAGCCCCTCACTCCAAATCACCTTTTGCTGCTCAAATCAAAACCATTTCTTCCGCCTGGTGTCTTCAATCCGAGCGACTGCCACGGGAAGAGAAGATGGCGCCAAATTCAGTACATGGCCAACTTATTTTGGAAGCGATGGACCAAGGAATACCTACCGGAACTCCAAATAAGGCAAAAGTGGAACAGGAAAAGGAGGAATTTCGCAACAGGGGACATTGTCCTTATCGTCGACGAAAATGCTCCAAGAAATTCCTGGCTCATGGGACGAATAACGCAAGTCTTGCCAGACTCGAGAGGTTTTGTACGACAAGTGGAAGTACAGACAAAAACCAGCACACTCCGTCGACCCATCACAAAGCTGTTACTGCTGGTCGAGTCCCAAAATGAGCTCTAGCCCCCTTCCCCTCTTGCACCACACAAGCACATTTACACACACGGACTCATGTGTTAATACACATTCGCCCTACAAAGGGTCAGAAGCCCTGAACAAATGTTTTGTATTGGCTCTCCATTTTATGTTTATTAGTAATTGTCATGTGTGATTCCATAACAATTAGGGGCCGGAGTGTAGGAGCCAAAACGTTGATTTATTATTTGTATTATTTAATCATTTAATGTATGTAATGGAGTATAATTGATTGGTGTCAAGTGATCATGATCCGCAGCCACGGCTGGGCGGAGCGGCTGATTGGTGCTGCGATTGCCTCAGCTGGTTAAAAGAGTCCTGCTGATGATACTCTGTGTTCTAGTTTGGTTGTGAAGCCACACGGTTTTTTGACCGCTGCATTGCACTGCAGAGAAGGATAACTTGGAAATAAATATACCAAAAGAAAGGTGACTCTGAGTGATGTGTGAGCGCGTCGGCCAGGCGCTAAAACCAAATAACAAAAGGAGCTTAAGAAAGGTGGAAAGAAGGCTCTTTTAGTTACTAACATTGCCCCGACACGCGTTACTTCGTTACTTTTATAAAATAATCACACTCACTGACAGACTAGAGGGGTTTCCGCCGCAGGTTTATATACATGTAGGCCTATGTAATCTGCGCGACTTGCGAGACCACATCTCCACGTGCAGTGCTGCATAAACATGGATGAGTCATCTGTAAACTCCCTCAACGGGGCCGCTCGCTCTCTTTTGTTGATCGCCCTCTCACGGGTGAACAGTTCAATGTCCCGCTTCATTGTAGGAATTCTGCCATGTCTCTACCACTTTAGTTTGACCATCTCTGTTACTAAGTTATGGAATACTAAATACATAAGTAATTAGATACCTTACCGTTACTGCGCTCATAAAGAATGATAAGAATAATGCGTCTTGAACTGGTTTCATTAATTAGTGTCTTGACGTTTCACAGACTGTTAGCTTGTTGTGTGGCTGGTAGCCTATTTTAGAGCATATAAAAAGAAAGACTTGTGTTATGTCTTCCTTAATGCAATAGTAATTGGGGGTGCAAGTGGAGTCTCGCAGAGGCAAAACTGTGGCGCGCACACTGTAGGTGCGCCGCAGTCTGCGTGATCTGCCTGTAGGGAGGGGCGGGCCGGCCCTGCGAGTAAAGTAACAAGTTACTTTATGTAGAGAGTAACGAAGTAGTGTAATATATTACTTTTTTTAAAAGTAATATGTAATATGTAATATATTACTTTTTTTTAGTAACGACCCCATCTCTGCACATGGGCGCCTCCCTAGGGAGGTGTTCCAGGCACGTCCAGCTGGGAAGAGACCAAGGGGTAGACCTAGGACCAGGGGAAGGGATTATATCTCTTCGCTGGCCTGGGAGCGCCTTGGGATCCCCCAGTCAGAGCTCGTTGATGTGGCCAGGGAAAGGAAAGTTTGGGGCTCTCTGCTGGAACTGCTACCCCTGCGACCCGACCACGGATAAGCGGGAGAAGATGGATGGATGGATATTTGACTAGTATTAAAGTTCACTTTTCATTCAGGAAGTATGACGCTGCGCTTTCAGTGCGCTTCTCCATGTTTGTGATTGGTCGAATGCTCCAAATACCACCCCTTTCATGTGAACGCGCACCTAACTACATTGCTGGCTTGAGCGATCCACTTGATAACCAGCGTCGTAGTACAGTTTAGCGACAGCGCGTATGTTTTGGATTAGGCCAACCGGCTAACTCAAACATATCCAGGTTAGGAAAATCCAGCTTCGTATTACAGGCCTTTGAGCTGTAGTTATCAGTCTCTCAGTCTGACTGGAGAGGACTCTCCTCCACCTTGTTGACAGCTCATTATATCCGTTAGCGCAGCTAGCTAGCACCAGATGCTAACAACAACAACAACAATAATACACGTAACCGGTGCGCGCGCTTTCTCTCTCGCTTGCTCGCGCCACACATACACACCCTCCCACACTTATGATCTCTATGAAAGTGGCCATGTCGGCAGGCCACATCATGTAGACAGCCAGACACCCCAGGGCTCGACATTAACGACTGCCCGATGGCCCAGGGCCATCTAGTATTTAGCTCGGGCAATGAAGCCTCACCTGCTGGTTGCCCGATCGGGCAATATATTATGCCAGTATCATGCAGCTCGCGGATCCAGTAAAGAGTGACCCGACAGTAAAACTAAACATATCTATAACTAGTTTAGGTAGTTTGAGAGGTAATTCAAATAGCTACGTGTGATATTCTAACCTGAAGTGTGTTTTGTCCGCTCACCGCTGCATGTGATTATGCAGAGCTGCGTGTCGACTCGTCAGCAGCAGCTGATCTCTCTCTCCCGTCAGATTAGACTTCACTCGGGTTTAACTGAATGTAATGTTTTCTACTTTTTTACATCTGGGAAGGCATTTGCCTTCATCAGATGGAAAGTGTCTTGACCAACAACTTAAGTATTTCTTATGCAGGGCATGCAAGCGAGCAAACACAAACAAACAAGTGAAATGAAGAATACAATTGAAATTGTACAATACCATATTGTGGTGGTTCATCTTATAATTCAGTCTAGAGAATGCACCAGACAGCATCTAAGACCTGCAAAAATCTAAATTTTCTAGGGGGAGGCCCCCCAAACCTTTCGTGCGTCATTTCATCCGCGCGCATTTTTCAGGGCAATCTCTATTGGGCCCAGGGCCATGTAAATTAGCTTAGATGGCCCACAGGGCCATCTCCCAAAATCCTTAAGGTCATGCACTGCACCCTCGGTGAGGCAGAGTCAGACCCACATTTGCGCAGCGTTGCGTTCACAATACATACATAAAAAAAATAAAAATCCTCAGGCCAGCAGGCCACTTGACAGGCCAGGCCATCGGGAAACCTCCTGGTCCTCGATGGCCAGTCCGGGCCTGATCTCCCCAATTGTTAAACAACAATTTTGCTGCATAAGGCCCAATGTCAAGACATTTTATTTTCCAGACACATTTGTTATCTGGAAATGGTCTGCATTTGTTGGAAATGACTATGAAAGAATTGTGACCTGAAATCTCTGTAGTGAACCATTAACATTTTCACATAAGTGGGATACACACACACACACACACACACACTAATTTTGGTTGTTTATTCGTTTATTTTCTATTTATTTATTTCAATCAATAAGCATTAAGCTACTTGTTTAGTTGTGCAGGTTGTCGTCATGTAAAATAGGTCTCAGTTGGGAGGGAACCTTGTTTCCAGTATAGATAATGGGAAAAAAGTGCCAATGGGGGTTTCTACATCTTAGCAGGAGGATGCGTTCAGCCCTTTCTCACTTCCTCTAACATTATACATTTCTAAAGGAACTTCACAGACCTGCCATCCTCCTCCTCTCCAGCCGAAGCACTATGACTATCCCACCAATCCCTGTCCCCTCACTCCTACATCCACCTGCTCACCTGTGCAAACCAACAGGATTCTTAAACTCAGGCAATAATATTGATATGAGTAGCGTGACATATTGCATCTTATTCTCTGCCATATTGGGTTATCATGGATGTCCATCCTTTTGTCACGAGTGTCTCTATATTTATATAAATACTGTTACAGCAGTGCTGCAGTGGGACTTGGAGCCACTGACAATGCTAGCCGGTCTGCACTAATAATAAGTCAGGGACTCAGGAAGCTCCTCAGAGTTGAAAGAAGCTATTCAGTGTCTCCGGGGCCCAGGGGACGATGGAGCAGCA